AGTATGACTTTTTGCAGAAAAAAATCGTTTATTTTATTTTAACAACTGAATTCTTTGTAATTCTGAGCGTAAAAATAATTTAGAATTTAAAAATGCTTTTCATTAACGAAATGGATGGGAAAATGGTCTTTTGCCTTTCCGATCGCCATCAGATTTTCCTTTTTTTAAATTAATTATTTTCATTTTTATTATATTTATTTTTTAATTTTAATTTTTAACAAATTAAATTCGTTATAACAAATTAGTGAATCTGTTATAACAAATTAAATTCATTTTAACAAATTTAATGAATCTGTTTTAACGAATTAAATTCGTTATAACGAATTCAATGAATCTATTATAACAAATTAAATTCGTTATAACGAATTCAATAAATCTGTTATAACTAATTGAATTCGTTATAACGAATTCTAAAAATCGTTATAACGAATTCAAAAATATTTTTGATAGGTCCTAAATGGGCTTCCGTTGTTATCTCCATAGTTTCATTTAATAAAAATGTGAATCTTTTTATTAAATATCGGACACAAGTACAAGATATTCGAAGGCAAGACACATGAATGATCCTAAGTTTTACAAACATAGATTTTTAAACAAGGATTAAATGTTGACGACTTTTCTTTCACATTGAGAGCAATTTCCCAAAAATATTTAATCTATTTTCATTTAGCATAGTAAACTGATTTCCTTAATAAGCCCAAATTTCCTGGTTCTAATTCCATATTGATAAAAAAATCCTTTATATTTATATGCACAATTATGGGACACCTTCAAGGAAAAAAAAATACCCATTAGAAATGGTTCATTTCGGAAGGAAATATTACTTTACAACGCTTGTTTAAAATGTTTAAGCAATGAAAGATAAAAAAATCTGAAATGGCTCAAATAAATAACTTTTGACGTAAGTTTTTAGACGTATAAATTCTTTTTAGACAAACTACAATCTTAGTAGGTTTTGAAAGCTTCCAAAATAAGAAGAAATATGATCATATCATAAGAAATTGTTTTACTTCTCATACTAAATTGTCAAAATTTTCTGTTTTTGCATCATTTTGTATCTTGAAATGACTACCTCACCATTTGTGAAAACAAAAAAAAAAATTAATTATACATGTATTACTTTTATCAAAATAAATTAATTTTCCTACAAATGTGAAAAAACTAGAGGAAAATCGGGTCAGCAAAAATCTCTTTTAGTTGAATTATTTATCTTAATTAGGATATTTATTAAAACGTTCAAGTTCAATCTTAGTTATAATTTCACTTGGTATATCTTCTTCCTCAATCTGTGAAAGCGTCATTAATGTTTAAATACAATAAGTATGAGAAGAATTTCTGAATATGCATACATGGAGCGTCGTAGTTAATATACCTCATGGATTATCAAAAGAATTTTTCTCTTTCAATAATCACTTTTGATATAAATAGTAAATATTTTCCTGTCTAATCTATCAAGAGATTTTAAATTATTTTCCCCCATTTCTTGTAATAAAAAAGGTGCAGTATTTTTTTTTTACTGTATTGCGTCACAGTGAAAGTATTCTATTCATTCCTAGGTAGTTCACGAGAACCGTGAACTTAATAAATTGCGTAGACTCTTAAGGAAAACATATTTTGAAATGTAAATTTTACTCCATTAATATTGGTGTGATTTATTCTCCTTAGAACTCCATGAGGAAATATTTTTCGAGTAAAATAAATGAATCGCGAAGTAATGACCAGTGATCAATCTCAAAATCACATAAAACAATACAAAATTTTAGAGCTGGACAGAAATACCGCAGGTGGGTTCAAATGCTATTGAGGAATAACTTTGTAAATTAAATCACCACCAATCAACAGAGACCAACATAAAATGTACAACGATTTGTTTTACAAAAAACCAGGCGGAGCACCCCTGCCCTCGCAAAGAGCATGTCGTTCCTGATGCAAATTACGCCACTTCAGTTCTCTACAGCACTAACTCACTCAACCAGAGTTGCGTTACTAGATTACCCTCTCACTCCGTCGCGAGGTTTACAACTAGAAGGTTTATAATGCTTGGATAACAATATATGATCTCAAAATGCATGCAGTATTATCATGCGTTGATGATAAGTATCACACGCACCTGACGTTACTTATTTTTCTTTTAAGAAAAAAGTATCCCTTTTAGGTAGGGGTATAATTTTTCATTAAAAGAAAACAAAGTAACGTCGGGTGCCTGTGATAAATATGTACATGTAGGCCCGAAGAGAAAGATCTTTTATGACGTGCATGAAGAACTTAATGACTCATTGTGAAGAAACACCGATATATACATCCTCATCGATCCTTTATTATTTCCTCAAATATGTAATTTTGTATTTACGAAGATCAAGATCTAGTTATTTTATACTCGAGGAAAAATTATCTGAGGTAGACGACATATCCAAATATTCTAATTTACCGAAGATAAAGCTCGACATGATTTAGTTACCATTCAATATAAATTTAAGAGTAGGTTGGTTTAGTTATCTTATTGATACATCCTTACCATGTTTCGTCCCCACCTGTCGCCATGCTTTTTCAGTTGTGACCAGGAAGCTATTATTTTGTCAAATTATCATTTTAGAATCTTTATGTTTATAAAATGAAAAACAAAAGCTAGATTTACCATTTAAATTCTTTTATAAAAACATGTGACCAGGAAACTTTTTCACAGGATAATTTAAGTGTTTCCAATACAATGTGTTTTGACGGTTCTGTATTTGCATTCAAAGATTGATTGATTTTAAGTTATTAACCCCTCAATTTAAAATTTAACACGAAAATCTATGTCACATTATATACAAGCTGCATAGAACTGTAGCTCTATGCTTGAGAAAATTCGGACAGATAAAGCAGAGAGCTACAGATCCAAGCGTTGTAGAAACTTTCGATTTACGCCAACGATTTTTTTGTCGTTTTCTTCGGGTATTTTTTCTTGTATTTTATACTTTTTCTAGCTTTGAAATTAATTTTAAATGATATTTGATAATTAATCATACATTCAACTTCAATTCCTGATAATTTACTTACCTCTAAACGCTAAGAAATGGCTGTCTGTGGTTACGGACGTCGAAAGGGAACTCTTTTAAACCGACATTACAGAACTATTTACAGGACTGTTTCGGACGGTTAAAAGGTAAAGAAAGTATCAAAAATCAGAGTTAAATACATGTATTAATATCAAATACCATTCTAAAATTCAGAGAAAGCTTAAACTACACAAAATAAATACCTAAAGCACCGACAAAAAAATCGTGGGCGTAAATCGAAGGTTTTTACAACGCTTGGATCTGTAGCTCTCTGCTTTATCTGTCCGAATTTTCTCCAGCAGAGAGCTACAGTTCTGCAGCTAATTATATACTGCACAGTAAAAATCAAACCATTGAGATTCTATTATGTTAGATATCTATACAGAGATTGTCGTTGAATATCTAATAAAAATATTTAGAAAGAAATGTGAAATTTTCACACATGGTAAAATAAAAAAAAATACGAATTTTCCATGGTATTTTTCAGATCATGTGTTCATATAAAATGTGTATTTTTATGCCCCTATAAACGAATGTGAAATGAAGATTTTTGTATTTATGGAATAACTTTATCATTGGCCTACTTTCATATTTCACGATGGTATGTCCAGTGAAATTACCCTACTTTTGGTACCAATATATTGAATTTGCATTTAAGATGAGTTTAATCTTTGCTTTGTTGCCATACGGGGGATCAGTGTTTCAATATCATCATAAATATGCACATTGAAAAAAAACTATATTCTTTTGTCATTATGGTGGGATATTTCTGCACCCTATATATGCAAATTATTTTTCTATGGATTATGTCAACATAAGAGCTAATCATTTCAACTTGCAATATATATAATCACCACTATGATAACATGCGAGAAAATGCGATTAATGAGAAATCTAAGAATTTTCAAACACTATGAATTATCGCTATGCTAGAGGAATTTATTTTATATTAGTATGCAATTCACTTATTTTAAAAAAGTTCGTATTTATATTAACGTGCAAATAATTTATGTTGACATGCGAGATAATTATGTTGACATGCAACTTCTCTATGTTGACATGCAATTTTCTTTAGTTGACATGCGAGGTAAGTTTAAAATTCAGATGGCTATTTCAAAAGTTGCATGGCGACATAAATAATTTGCATATTGATATACATGTTAATAAGTTGCATACCGACATAAATAAGTTGCATCTATGTGTCAAAAGTCGCATGTTGGCAACGTTTGATGACTAAATTACGAATAGTTTCTGATTTATACATTTGATCACATTTTTCTTGAATCTCACCATAGATATCTTGCATTGTTGTATAATGACATATTTATGTTTCATGTTGACATAATCATATCGTATTTCGACATATTCTGTAGAAGAAATACTTTGAATAATAATGGGTAGAAATATGTCATATCGATTAGGAAATATTTGAAAGTGTCTTGACGAAGGAAAATGCTGATCTGAAATTGCAAACAAACAGTTTTAGAATGGAGTAATATATAATCACAATTCGAAACAAGCAAGGGCGTATTTTTATGGAACACGATTAAAATAGCAGGAGTGTGTTGTTGAAAAGATCTAAATACTTCTGTAGAGCAAATCTTTTTACTGATAATTGATAAGAACATTTGTTAGACTGCACTGCACATTAAGTTGTGCCTCAACGTAAATATTTTATATTGAAGTTAATTGCTAAATAGTAATGCGTCTTACTTTAAAAGAAATAGATTTGCAAGGTTAAGTTACTTGACCTGATTTTAAGGATCTTCATCCCTGTGTTCAAAATAAAGACCTCGTTACTTGACAATTCTATAAGAAATTATAGTAACTAAACCATTAGTAAGAGTTATTTCTCTTATCAAAGGATCATTTAACCTTAAAATGTAGATTCATGCAATATTTAAGAGTTGGCGTACCTTCTCCAAACAGAGTTTACAACAGAAGATGAAGTGTACATATATCTCATTTTCTTGGTTCCTGTTAGTAAGTTTTATATGTCTTTCAAAGATAAAATTTTGCGGTTGCCTCTTGGCACATGACCATACGACCAAAGCTGTTACCGATGTCAATTCTATAGAATCGGCAATTATACACCAACTTCTCACAAAACAGATGTCAGCCTTGGAAAACAATGTCCGTTTGCTTACTGATGAAGTGACAAATCTAAAAAAGAACCAATCCAACAACGACAAAAAGATGACTGACCTTGCGCGGCATAACCAGGAACTTTCTCAAAGACTGATCAGTCTTGAAAATACCTGTATTTATTCCGCTATTACTACTGAGAAAATGGCTACCCAGAACAGCAGGTTGAACAAATTGGAACATGATGTAAATGGTACTGTGTTGTTAGTTTGGACCTTAGTTGTTAACAGTGAAAAGGATCGAAATGAGACTTCGCAACTGGACATCCTTGTATCAGTGCTACAGGACGATCTTCTTAGGGTTAATCTATCCGTCATGGAGGACAACAGCGTTTTAGAGAAAATCAATTCATCATTTGAGATGTTTAAAAATGAAAATAACTTGAAAATACAGAAAGTTGCAGGTTTGTTTGATTGAAATATCTATTTTGAATGTTTATTTGATATAATATTTTATAATTCTTTTCTGATGGTTTCTCTAAAAGTTTTAGGTCTTGTTTGTTTCCGTTTTTTTTTTCATAGTTTATGGCGTTTTTCATATACAGTTTCAATTTTATAGTTTTACTTTAAAATGTTGCAGGTTTTTTTTCCCCTATACAAAGTGAGTAGTATATTTTCTACAGTATTTCTGATATAATTTTATAACCTTTTTTGTTCGTGTTTCTTTCAAGATCAAGACAAAAATACCAACACGAGAATCAACAATCTAATATCAGACATTCGTAACGGAAACTTAGTAACACACAACATTGTAAATTCTATCAGCAATTTGGAATCAAATATCCGAGGTAGGTGATATCTATTTATACAGTAAAAGGAAATAAGTATTAGCTCTCTTGACATTCCTTAACAAAGTATTGAAGAGTGAATGATTTCAAAAGGTATTCATGTCAGAAAAAATATTTTCGTTAAAAATTTAATTTCGGCTAACAAAGTTCATTACTTTCAGTTGCAATTCTTATCATTTCATTATTTTCATTTCAGAAATTCGAAACCATGTCGGTTTTACAGCAGGTGCAACCACTAGCAATGTGTGGTCAGGATCTACCTTAGTTTTCAACAGATTGATTTACTCTAACGGGGGCGGCTACAGCACTTACTCCGGCGTGTTTACCTCCCCCGTGACAGGGACTTTTGTCTTCTATGTTGCTGTGATTTCAGATTCGAACGTTGATCTATATTTAGATATTGTGTTAAACGGTGTCAGTAAAGTGAGAACGATGTCCTATTCCACTTCCGGTTCACACTCGTATCAAACAGGGACAAATCTTGCTATATTACATTTAAGTGTTGGAGACAGAGTTTGGGTTAGGAGACATAATGGAGGTGCTTACGCTACACACAGTGATGCCCCACTGGTAACCTTCAGTGGATTTCGCTTATAAATTAGCACTCTTGAATCTTAAATCATTTTTCTGTTGAAAATAAAGTAGAATCTTGCTATTTGTTTTAATTCTTCCTGCAACACTCGAAATTCCATTTGTTGTGTATCAAGTTGAACTTTGTTAAGTCTGAAATTGAAACTGATTTTTCAAATCTTAAACCCTTATTATTACATGAACGTATTCAAGGGCGTAGCAATGTAATGCTGTAAAAGGTATTTACATATGATAATCAATATATACTAATATAAATGGATACATGGCAAGTAATAATTTAAATAAAGCATTAAAGTCTTCAAAGAAGTAAATTTTTAAGCTGTTTTTGAAAATACAAATAGATTTTGATTGTTTATTTCGGGATGAGCGTATTTTTTATTTAATGTTTGATTTGTCAAAAGTTCAATAAATAATCTTGTTGCTAATTCATAAATAAATTCCCCAATATATTTTCACATTGTTTATTTGACCAAAGAAGTTCCAAGCATAGTATAATTGAATTTCACTGGCATTTTTTAAATTATATCAGTGAAATATTTGGAGAGGGCGTTACACAGTATAAAAAATCAATCAATCGAATTTTTTAAGATGGTGCTTAAACTCCTGTGTATATTCCGTAAAGCTATTCTAAGCTGACAAAAAAATCAGTTCAGTATTGGATTGTTGCAAATAGAAGTGCTGGTAACACCACTATTTCATCTACCATTAGTATATTATCACTTAATAAAGATATAGTCTTCTCTTGATTGCTTAGTTGTTATTAGAGTTTTTATTCAAAACACTTAACCTTTACCAGGAATCTGCAACACAACCTTTACTTTATATGGATAACACTAGAGCACATTTTTACAGTTTCATTTTATTTTTTCGCAAATGTATCCTAGTTTTCCGCGGCATGCACCATCTCCCCAATAATACGCCTTTTTATCATGTAAAAAATAAAACAGACACCTTTCTTTTGTTGGGTCATTGGGTTCTGTTGGATGAAAGAAGGTGTAACCGATTTTTTCATTGGTGGATTCCCATATCCAATCACCGACTTTTCTTAAAGTGTTCCCGCCAATCCAAAAATACGATTCTTTGCCTGCAACATAAATTATATATCAAAACACTTATAACAATTCAGTGTCACTTGATTTATCTAAGAAGGAAGCTCAAAATGTCGGTTTACATATACAATAATCATAATATAATTCGTTTAAGGTTACAAAAGAATATAGATATATTTTTATATTTGGTCTGAAATAGTTTTTATTTTATTCTAGCTTTCCACATGAAATATTCTGGCGAAGTATTCAATTGCTGTCTATTTTATCCCCATAAAATTTATAGAAATTGCAAGTTTGTTATATTAAATAGACTTTCATCAAAAATTCAAATTTAAAGCACTATTTTCTACAAAACCATTCACTTCTTTTAAATTACATGTAAGTGAATTACACTAAAGGGACTAGGACCAATGTCCTTGTTTTACACTTATAAAAATGGATCTTTTAATAAAATACAAAAACAAAAGAAATCCATGCCAAAATCACAGAGAGGAATCGATAGGTTATAAGTGTTGAGTTGTAATTACTATAATATATGATAAGTATCGCATTTTCTCGTATAAATATGCGCGTAAATTGCCAATATCTTATTACGCAATAATTTTAATATTCTTTAATTACTTAAAGCAAAGAGCTGTTGAATAATCCAGTCATTTTCCTTGGGTGTTTCCACTGTAGCAAGATAAGCGTTTTTCGTGTTGCATGCAACCTGAAAAATATAATGTATTAGCCAAGGTAAAATATCTAACAATAACATTCTAATAATTGAAAAAAATCTCAATATGTTTATAAAAATATCTCGTTGAAATAATACTTTAAATGAAATGCATTGTTTTAAGGTACACGTATACATACTTTGCTTTCAAACCAAGTTTTTTTGTCAACCCCAAACATATAGCAATGTCCACTGAATTTTATCCACGGATAATTACACATAGATTCAGCAAAACCTGAAAATTGCAGACCTTTAACGTTTATAACGGTTTAAATTACACTTATTTCTAACTCGAAACAAGCACGGTATTTTAACAAGAGGCCCAAGGGCCTTATAGGTCACCTGAGTATCACGTAACAACTTTCATACTGAATTAAATACCCAGAGCAGAGAAGAAGATTTTCAAAGAAATAATGCTTTTTCACTATATAGCCCCGCCCTAGCACCTATTAGAACTCCTAACCCCAGGGCCATGAATTTTACAATTTTGGTAGAGGACTCAATGCTGATTACAATTATGCAAACAGTTTAACTGCTTGATGTTCAGGAGTAAAGAAGAAGCGTTTTAAAGATTGCATTAATTTTAGTGGTTTTGGCCCCACCCCTCAGGCCCCAGGGGGGCAGGGGCCATGAAATTCACAAATTTGGAAGAGGTAGCATTATTCAACATAATTATGTATTTGGCTTGTTTATTCAATACCCAGGAGCAGAGAAGAAGATTTCCAAAGAAATAATGCATTTTCACTATATAATCTATGTAGCCCCGCCCTAGCACCTAAGAACCCCTGACCCCAGGGCCATGAATTTCACAAATTTGTTAGAGGACTCAATGCTGATTACAATCATGCAAACAGTTTGACTGCTTGATGTTCAAGAGTAAAGAAGTAGATTTTTAAAGATTGCATTTAAGTCTAGTGATTTTGGCCCCACCCCTCAGGCCCCAGGGGGGCAGGGGCCATGAAATTCACAAATTTGGAAGAGACAGCATTATTCAACATAACTATGTATTTGGTTTGTTTATTAAATACCCATTAGCAGAGAAGAAGTTTTCAAAGAAATAATGCATTTTTACTATATAATCTATATAGTTCCACCCTAGCACCTAAAAACCCATGACCCCAGGGCCATGAAATTCACAATTTTGAAAAAGGCTGCCTTATTCAACAAAACTATGTACTTGGTTTGTTTATCTTATGCCCAGGAGCAGAGAAGAAGATTTTCAAAGAAATAATACATTTTCACTACATAATCTATATAGCCCCACCCTAGCACTAGAACCCCTGACCACAGGGCCATGAATTTCAAATTTTGGTAGAGGACTCAATGCTAAATACAATCATGCAAACAGTTTGACTGCTTGATGTCCAGGAGTAAAGAAGAAGATTTTTAAAGATTGCATTAATTTTAAAGATTTTGGCCCCACCCGTCAGGCCCCAGGGGGGCAGGGGGCATGAAAATCACAATTTTTGTTTCCCTTCATCCATAGATGCTTTATGCCAAATTTGGTTGAAATTGCTTGAGTGGTTGCAGAGAAGAAGCTGAAAATATTCAAATGTTAACACACGACGGACGACGCACGACGCATGAAGGACGACGCAAGACGACGGACGAAAGCGGATAGCAATAGGTCACCTGAGTTTACTAAGGTGACCTAAAAACCTGTTATTAGTCCTTTACCGGTGAAACCGATGGGGACTATACATATATATGTCCCTTCTTATGCCTGTTATTATGCCCCACTTGGTTTCCATACTTTTTTTCTAAACGCTTGCAACATTGAGCTGAATTTTGATATGTGAGTGTATCTTGATAAGTTTCAGACTAAAATTGCATTCCGTTCCGCTTCATAGATTTTTGACGGATTCGTGTGGTTTTTATGGTGGTCATATGGTTTTTAACGTGTTCGTGCTTCACAAAATTAATGTTACAACCGATATATATATATATATATATATATATATATATATATATATATATATATATATATATATATATATATATATATATATATATATATATATATATATATATATATATATATATATATATATATATATATATATATATATATATATATATATATTGTCATGATATAAATTATTGATTTGAAACTTGCTTGGAAATTTTATAGTGACATGCGAGATAAAATTTTCTATCTTTAAAATGATAAATGTCCTAAGGACCGGTTTAACGATAGAATGGTTCTGTGTAATAGGAAAGGTGGAAAACTCTTTTTTCTATATAGGCCCTATTTTTACATGTATGTAGAACTTTGATTGCCTATTATGGCCCCGCCTAACCCCGGGGGTCATGATTTGAACAATTTAAAATCTACACTAGTCCAGGATGCGTCCACATAAGTTTGAACTTTTCTGGTCCAGTGGTTCCTGAAAGGAAGATTTTTAATGACCCCATCCTATTTTTGTCTTTTCTTGTTATCTCCCCTTGTAAGGGGACTCGGCCCTTCATTTGTATACAAGTTCCGAATGTCAACCTGGTGTGTAAATATGAAGGGAGAAAAAAAACGTGTTTTCAATGAACTGCATTGTATAATTGACGAGTTTTAATTTTTCCTTTATCGTAAATGTAAGTAAATGTAAGTAAAAAAAGTAACGTCAAATTAATTCTTTTCTAACGTCACGTAAAATAACGTCATTTTGACCTAACCGAAATTGACACCAACACCGTGCGCAACGTGTATGTTACTATGTTTTGTAAAACCTGACATATGCTGAATATGATAGCTTTTTACATTAGATGGTATTTTTTTGTTTTGGCTAGAAATGAATTCGGGAAGTACTATGCATATTTCAATTTGCACTGAAGAGGATCGATTAAAGGATCGATAGCGGCGTGAAAATGCGGAGCGATAGCAATGATCTGATAGCACAAAGACCATGAAGCTATAGTCATACTCGCTTCATTGTCCATCTCATCAATGTCAATACCTTATTGTGTCATGATATTGCCCTCTCTCTTTGCAACGCTTCATCGTTATGGCACTCGTGTGGCATTCGGATAGGATCACGCAGTTCACTATCGCATCATCGCGCCATCGAAATTTGGTTTGATAATGCAATGACACGATAATACGATGATGATGAAGCGACGATGCGATAGTACGATTACAATGAAGCAATGGCGCGATAACGTGATAGCGATGACGCGATGGCGATGGCGCAATGATACGATAACGTTGAAGCGATTTTCACTTTTACTCTATCGTTCTATTGCACCATCGCCATCTTATCATCGCGCCATCGCATCATCGTTATCGCGCTATCGGACTACAGCTCCATCGTCATCTCACCATCTCTTCATCGTTATGGCAGGGTTAGGATTAGGGAAAAAAAGAAACAAAGATAATTCGACAAACATTTAAATGACTGTAATCCTATTAATTAGGTATACTTCGACCGTTTATAGAAAATCTCCTATGTATCATATCAACATTTTATGCTGAGTCAAATATTTTTCTGAATAAAAAGAAGAACTGTAATTAGAGAAACACATAAATTACATGTATACTGTCTGTACGTCTAAAGGAATATTTTGTTTAGATAAATTGATGATTCAATGACATTTAATTACATGTATGTATAGAGTTTGACTAAAAATTTCCAGAATTAAGAAAGTAAACACAAAATTAGTCAACACTCTGCAAGCAATATTCTCAAGTTTATTATGCAAAGTTAATTGACATTGTTAAAAATATTCATTATTGTATTGTAATCGACAAACTCTATGTCATTCAAATTTATAATTATTTTCTTATAAAACACAGATTAATCAGGTAAAATCCTTAATATTCTTTAATATTTAACAAAGCTAAGAAAATTTAAAAAGTATTAAAACAATTGCTATAATCAAATATCAAGATATACATACACCTACCAACAGCAACGAAGCTAAACACAATGCAAAAATCAAGTACAGGAGTTTTGAAATGCATCATTGAAAAGCCTTGATTTTATTATTCCAATCGAGCTTTTAAATAGCTTTTAACTGTATCAGAAATTACAATAAATACTACAACAGCTTGAAAGGATATTTCAACTAATGATTTCGAAAATAGAGTTATTGATTTCTAATTGAAGTACTTGACTGATAAAATAGTACTAGAGTTATACTGATGTAAACAGCCGTTGATGTTGATAGTAGGCACGAGTACAGTCGTGGGTGTTGAATATAAAGAGTACACAGGACAAGTACACCACCGGCAAGTGGTGGCGTCCCCACATGCGTGAAAAGGTCTCCGGATGGACGTTAAACAACATACAAACAAACAGTTGCGATAGTTAAAATGCAAATCAATACTATTGATTAGTAATGGCTCGAAAAATAAATGCAATTTATAACACTCGTTTTAAGTAAATCTGTAATTCGATGCTTGACAGATGTACATGCGTAGGTGACTGCTTGTCAATGATTATAATAAGAAAAATAGACACAATTATCTATCACAAAAATTTTGGTATAACAAACTGGAATTCTTATAGAATCTTTTAATTTTAATTTGAAATGTTACAGATTTTGTTTTTTTCTAGACAAAATGAGTGGTTTGTTTTTTCCATTTCTAATATAATTCATTTGGGGTCATTGTTGGGGGTTGCATATTACATGTGAGCACTATAAGCCTGGAGAGGTAATTTTCTTAAAAGCTAACCTATAATAATACAATTAACATGATTTATTCCCAAAGAAATCTTGCACGGTAAGTACAGTAGGTTTTATCTAGTACAGTGTTGCTTGAAACCAGCCAGAATAAATTCGTACATGCTCCTGTTGAAATGAGAGGGGTTGCATAATCAGGATCTGCTTTTTTTGTGATTGGACAATATTTTGTCTCCACATAAATTTTTTCTTCATCTTTAATATATATTATTTTGCTATAAAATAATCCAATGTAAGCTAATATATGAATTTTTGCTTAAGTTCTCATAACTTTACACATTTAAAAAACATCAATTGAATTAAAATTTTCTGTGTACTCATTATACAGAAGTATTAAATTTAGGAGGGATGGGGGTCTCGAGTTATTTTCAAGGGGATTATTACAGTTTCCCATGTAAATAGGTTAAAATTAGGGCGGTTGGTCGTGGGTCTGTTGAATGCGGCTTCCCCATTTTATGGGGTGACCGAAACTTATGGATTCCAAAGGTTTCGGCCATGTGGCGTTTGCGTCGAGCCATTCAACTGATGCTATAATTCATTGTGCTGCTGCTGCTTAAAACAATCTCATTTACTGTGAAAATGTGTGCTGCTTTCAACAAATTCATGAATTGGTCTGCTTTGCTTACTTGAAACAAACTCAGTTGCTGTGCAAAATGTGTACTGCTTTCAACAAATTTCATGCACAGTGCTTTGCTTGCTAAAATATCCTTTGTAACGTTCGCGGTTTGATAAACCGGAACGATAACTACAACATACATGTAAACTTGTAAAGTTTATTTAAAATACACATGTACATAAAATTAAATTGTAAGGTTAATTACCGTTCGCGGTATACCCGGAACGGCCATTATTATGCTTATTATATGTACATGTAATATTATGCTTTCATGTTGCTTGCTGCTGCTGCTGCTTGTTGTTATTTGGGGTCGCCCTTTTACGCTTGGCGACCCCCTGCTGCTTTAAATATGCCACGACCAACAAACGCCAATATCAAAATAAACGTGTATAAAATCATGTTTGTTTTATTTTCCTCTATATAAATAATTGACCTCGTTTTAGAAATTGTTCATACGTAGAGCATGTTCTTGCGGAATCATCTGAGAGATATATACTCTGTATGCAGGTGATGGGGGTATATTGCTGCATATAAGTAAGGGAAGTTGACAATAGAAAAGTAAGTCATCACGTTTATGATATAGCTTGGTTGTTAGATTACCATTAACGTCTTTTTCAAGTAAAATATATCCAAGTATATAACAGATGTGTCAGACTCTGTGGTATCTTTTATCTCAAGCTCACCAGTACATATCGTATCGACGTAGGAATGGAAATTGCCATTGTTAATTGATATGAATTTGACAGAATAAAAAACGGAATTTTTCACATAATACTTGCAATCACGCACTTATATATTAAGTATCACTTAACAATATACATGTATATGCTTTCAACTTTTCTGAGGCTAATAAAAATCAATTCGGTGTAAAAGTCATAAGCATAGCATGGTAGCGAGTGACACCTAACAACGGTGTTAATAACCTTCACCTGCCGTTAGTATATTTCTGTTTGTTCAGCATATTTTACACATATGTATATTTTTTCTGACCCAGTTAAGCTATATTTAATTGCTTAATCAAGTCTTAAATCATATCATGGATACCTAATTAGACATCTGCAGACAAATTTTTTATTGTGTATGCATTATAAAGGAGTGAGGGTTTACAGTTTCAATTATCTTTTTCACAAATGTATCCCAGTTTTCCGCTGCATGTAGCATCTCCCCAATAAAATGCCTTTTTATCATGATTAAAGAAACACAGACATCTTTCTATTGTGGGACGATTAGGCTCCGATGGATAAAAGAAGGTGTATCCAATTTTTTCATTGGTTGATTCCCATTTCCAATCACCAACTTTTCTCAAAGTGTTTCCACCAATCCACCAATACCATAGGTTATCTGCAACATAAATTATGTAAATCAAAGAAAGTTATGAAAAATGTCAATTGATTTATTTAAGAAATATGAACTAAAAATATTTGATCAACCATACAATAATTGTTCAAGTTCTAAAAAGAGAATATTCTTTAAAAAATTAGTTGGCTTGATCTTGCTTTTTGGGAAAGCTTACCATATGAGTTATACTAAAATATGATTCATTTTATGTCTAATGTTTTCCCCTTAAATTTTCCCTTAAATTTTACAAACATACACATGCATTTATTGCAATTATTTTACACGAAATATACGTACGAAAAGTCAACAGTTTCTACAGAACTGATTAACTTAATTATACTTATGGTACTTGGACAAAATCCTTGTTATGCAAAAATACTTGTAAACAATGATTTCTTTTTTTTAATTATAATTAAAACATTGCGGAAATTGATTTTTGATCAAGTAAGCGCAGATCTTATTTAGTGCATTTACGTATGTAACTAGTTTTATCTACATTTGCAAAACAGATAGCGTGGTACTTGAATTAGCGAATATTGCTTTCCGCGAAAGGCGACACAACAAATACACAGATAAATGTTAAACGCTTACAGTGCTCACGTAACATCCCAATATCTTGATTTGCAATTAATTTAATATTCTTTAATTACTTAAAGCAAAGAGTTGCTGGATAATCTAGTCATTTTCCCTAGGTGTTTCCACTTTAGCAAGATAGGCATTTCTTGTGTTGCATGCAACCTAAAAAAAATTAAATAATGTAACAGAAAATGTAAAATATAACATATTTACATTCTAATGAAAAGAAAAATCAAATTGGAACAAAATCAAGTTGTTAATAAGAATATCGTGTAAAATTACAATAAACTAGTAATTCTTAAAGGCAAATACATTGCTTAAAGATACATGTATACGTACTTTGCTTTCAAACCAACTTTTTTTGTCCATCCCAAACATATAACAATGTCCATTGAATTCTATCCACGGATAACTACACATAGTCCCATCAAACCCTGCAAAATGCAGTACTTAAGTTAAACAGGTCAGATTATTCAAAATTATACAAATCTGAGAAAACGTCGACATTGTTTCAAAACAATTGTTGTAAAACTAGCCATACCAACAGCAACGAAGAAGCCATAAACAATGCAAAAAAGAAATACAGAACTCTTGAAATGCATTCTAAAAAGAAAATATTGCCTTGCTTTATTATTCTAACAAAAATTTTAAATCAATTTCGTTTTATATTGTATCAAAATTTGAAATAAATACTGCAACAGCTCGAAACATGTTGACTTACTGATTTTGGAAATAAGATTTATGACTACTACCGGTATATAAATTACTAGACTGATAAACCAGTACTAGAATTTGATTTAATACCATTTTCGTTCAAAGTTGTGATAGTAAAAATGCAAATAAATCATATTTATTAATTCTGGCTCAATCATAAGGTAGTTCATTACACGTGTGTTAAAAAATTTATAATTCAATGCTTGACAAACATACATGTGCAGATGTGTAGATGAATGCTTGATTTCAACAAAAAGTAGACAAAATAATTTTTGTACGAAAGTTTTGAAATCACAAACTGGAAATCGAAAGGTGATGATAGAACTGGAGATCGAAAGGTGATGATAGAAAGAAAAACATAAGCAAATGTTTCAATTAAATTGTTTTAACCAGCCAGACCTACCATTTTAAAAGTTTCCCTTATTTCTATTAACAACTTACTGCAAATACCGGTACATGTAAAACAAATTATTTGAAAGGAGATGAATGAATACGACGAGCAAAAAGCCTATAGCATTACAAACCTGAAGGTGAAAAAAATCTCAAATTTTCCTTTGATATTTCATCTAACACTTATACAGTGTATATAATTTATGTGGAATTTCTTCCATTTGCAAAAATCTTACAAAGATTATTTTTCAGAGAAATAGTATATACACACACTAAATAATTTTTCACACTATGATAGTACTCTATTTTTCTAAATGAGTGGATCTTCGTTCCATTTTTTTGAAAGTCAATCCTCAAAGTTTGCATAAATATAAATATTTTTTGGTTTTCAAAATTATGGAGCGAAGACCCACCATATTTTTTATACACTTTAATGACATAACATTCGCATCTATTTGAGAAATACTAGATGTCCATTTGAACAATTGTCACAAACATGATTTTTAAATGCCGATATCCATCAGGGCTGTTATGCAGTGGTTAGCGTGCTCACTGGTCCTAAAAGAAAATGATACTGAGGATTAAAATAATAACTCAGTGAAGTTTGTTTGTTTGATTAATTGATTAATTGTATGTTATCTAACGCCTCATTCGAGA